ATTGTTAAGAAGACATTCAAAATCCAAATTGTAATGAAAATTCAAAAAAGACCAAAAATTAGGATAGTAGCAAATATACATGTCTACAATAAATAAAATAATATAAACTTAATAAAAATTGAAGTTTTTATTATAAAAAAAATAATTTCCTATACTATTATAGATGGTAGATGTGATTTGAATATTATGCCCTTTCAAACTATAAAACAAATTAGGATTAAATGTCATTAGTTTGTCTTCTTTTGTTATTAAGATGGCAAATCAAAGCCTATCTATATTAATATGCCAGATTCAAAATTATAAAATTTAAATTAAAAGAAAGAAATACACCTTAATATATTATGTCATTCAAATACATACATCAAAGGATTCTTTCTCTTTGATATTAGATAGACCATACTTAAGAAAATCTAAAGCCATAGTTAATTATAGAGAAGAAAAGTGCCACATCAGCTTTGATCTTTGAGAGAATAAAATCGAAATTTCTATATAACCTATCTTAGATCATGGAAAAAATAATTCCATCAATTTTTTAGAAGAAAAGCAACAATCTAAAATATAAGGCAAAGCAACAAATGTGGTCAATGCAATTGATTTAGATTTAAAGAAAATAGGATGCTTAGGTTCCAAAATTTATCATTGGAAGGATAATGAAGAATTTAAACAATGGCTAGGTGATCATTTCGACTCTAATTTTTATTGTTTTGAATTAGTTAATTTTTCAAATAAGATGTTGAAAATTACAAAAGTTGAAGAAATTCAAGTCCTTAGCATTAAGAAGGATGGGACCTTAGAAGAAGAGATTGAAGTTCTTTAAAGAAATGAAAACTTAATTCTACTTCTTTAATTTCAAAACACTTCATCAAAAATTATGATTGGCAATGAAATTACTAACTATCTTTTTATATTTAGAAATTAGTATAAAAATTCTTCGAGACAATCTCCAATATGAAAATTTAAATAAAAACTCATAAATATATTTCAAAAAAGAGAAGAGCCCAAAAACATTAAAATTAGAGCTCATTTAAATCAAGAGGAGGTGTTTAGATATTGTAATTTGATTATAAAATATTAAGAAATTTTGGCCTGATCATATAAATAATTAAAAGATATACCACCTAAAGTGGCTTAATACCATATTTTCCTTATTCTTGGTGCTAAGGCAATTAGACAAAAGAAAAGATGTATGAACCTCCAACTCTAATTGATTGTTAAAAGAATATTAGAAAAATTATTACAAGACAATTTTATTACACTAGTAGAAATAAAAAATTAATTCTTTTTTGTGGTTCTTGTAAAGAAAAAAATAATAAATTAAGAATGTACATAGGTTATAAAAAATTCAACAAAAACACTTGAAAAGACTAATTTTTTCTTTCCTCCATTAATAAAGTTTAAGATGAAGTTGCAAATCAAAAAACTTATACTTTCATGGATGGCTATTTGGATTATAATCAAATTACCATAGTATTTGAAGATCGCCCTAAAATGGTTTTTACTACTCCCTGGGGCACATTCATTTTTTCTGTCATGTCTTTTGGATTTTGTAATGCTCTTTATGCCTTCCAAAGAGCCATGATCTTGCTTTTTTGGATTTGCTACACAAATCTATGATGGTATTCATAGATGTTTTTGGTACCCAATAAAATGCTAAGGACTATATAAACCATATGGAAGAAACCTTAAAAAAACATAGAAAAACAAAAATTACTTTAAATCTTAATAAAATATATTTGATTTTATAAAAGAGGGTTTTATTGGATTATGTAGTATCCAAAGAAGAAAGAAAACTTGATCTAAAAAAATAGAAGTTATATCTAAAATGTAACCAACTATGAATGATAAAAGAGTAGAACAAATCTTGAGACACCTTTGATAGTATTGAGAATTAATTTCCAATTATGCCACAAAAACTTTATTCATTATTAACCCTAAAAAGAAGTTGGACAAGTTTGAGTAGACAAAGGAGTATCAAGAAGCCTTTGATTGAATAAAGGCAACATTGAATTCCTACCTAATGTTAAAACCACCTAATTGAGATCTCTCTTTCTATATCTATTGTGATACTTTATTCATAGGAGTAGATAGTGCATTACATCAAGCTATGAAAGGTGGACAAAAAAATTATCTTATAGTATTTTCTAGCAAAAAATTAAATGCAGAAAGACAAAATTATAATACTACAAGAAGAGAATGCTTAGCCATAGTCTTTTTTCTGAAGAAATTTTGTCATTACTTTCTATTAAATCTTGTAGTATTTTTTGTTAATCATTTGGCCATCAAATATTTAGTCAACAAGGCAGATTTGAGTAGCTGTATAGTACAATAGATTTCATTATTGGAAGAATTTAATTACAAGATAGAATATAAATTTAAAAAATTATATAATCAAACCAATCACTTATCAAGATTAGAAGAGAAATTAAGCCTTATTCTTATTGACGACAATTTGATAGATTTTTTTTTCTTTTTTTCTTTTTTTATCATCTTCACCTATTCTACTTGATACAACTACTTCATAGAATTTTTAAATTTTTAATAGTTACTTAAATAATTATCTAAATATAAATAGTATAAAATTAGAATTAATCAAGTTTATTTAATTATTATTGAAAAAATAATTATATCATTAAAAAAAATGGTCTACTTAGACAATGTATGGTGGCTAATGAAATACCAACCATATTGAAAGCATACTACAATTAGTAAGAATATACAAAAAATGAGGAATTTGATTACAAAAGGGATGTTTATTGCAATTCTTTAAGAGAAATGAAGCATGTTGTGGTGGCTATAGAATATTTAACAAAATGAGGTAAAGCAAGTGTTGTCAAAATCAATAATGCTATCTATGTGGTTAATTTTATATATGAAAAAAATATTTTAGATTTGATTGTCTTAAACACTGGATTAATAATTGAAGTACATACTTCTTGAATAACATGATTGAAGAAATAACTAATAAATTTAATATAAACCATCATATGACTACTCTTTACTATCCACAAACCAATGAACATATAGGAATAGTAAACCAAACCTTGGTTAATAACTTAAAAAAAACAATATAAGACTCTTAGAAGGATTGAAATACAAAATTATTAATAACTTTGTGGGCTTATTGTTACAACAAAGGCCAATCCATATGGAATAGAAATAATATTACTAATAGAGTTTGAAGTGAATTCTATTATATTAGCAATAGATGATGGATTAACTATCTAAAAATCCTTGAGAGATAGAATAAAATAATTGAAAGGCATGGATGAAATTTGAAGGACTAGGACTTAGCATATAGAAAGAATTTAAAGAAGAAAGAAAATTGCTTTTGATAAAAAAAACACACAAAGAGAGTCTTACAACACGGAATACTAATATTATTATAAGATGCTAGGAAAATGAATTTTTCTAGCAAATTTGATGCTCTTTGGTTAGATTCTTGTTTCATATGGGAAGTGTATAACAACAATTTTTTGTAGATAAAAACATTAAATGGTGAAGTATTTCCAACTAAAATATTCAAGAATAAATTTAAGGAGTGTAAAACGTTAAAAAATCATCACATAGTGTAAAAAACCAATTTACACTCTTATTACTCAAGTTGAGTGGAATGTAGCCATATAACCTAATTAAACTTGATTTTTATCAAGAAAATTGGATCTTGACTCATTAGAGAGGTAAAAATAATTCTATAAATGGTTCTTGGTTCCATTAGAATATTATCTCTTCTACTTACTAGGAGATGAATAAAATCCAATGTAAAGAAAAAGATATATTACAAAAATAAAAAAAATAAATGAATAATAATTATAAAATTTAGAGATAACTTAAAGTAGTTTAGTATCTTTGGATTATTGGGTAGTTGGCCACAAAAGTCATTATGTATAAGGTGATTTGGATTTGAATCAACATCACATAATATACTATCTCTATGAGTTAGAGTTAGAATAGGAAAGTGGTCAACTTGTGCAATGTAGAAGATATGTAGGCTTATATGGCTTCTAAGCTAATTCCTTCTCCTTTGAAGAAGATTCCATAATACTAATTTTTTGACCTTTTGACTCCTAATATTTTATTTTTCTTCCCTTTTCTAGTTTTCTTCCTTTTTTACTTTTTCTTTCTTCTTCTATTATAGAATTATATTACTTTACTTTACTAAATCGATTAGTTCCTTCAATACTTCTTCTATCTCAAAGGAATTAGAAGTAGCATGGTAGAAGTGAACTTAATACTAATCTCAATCTTTTATATGAACAATTTATTTTGGTCCTTTAGCACTATTCTTCCTAGTCTTAATAGAATATTAAAACCAAAGTGACTAAATATAGATAAGACCTTGGCAAGAGCAAGAATTTTGGATTCTTTGCCTCTTTAAGTTATTCTCAATAGTTGCCATATATAAATCACAAAATTGACTCACTTAGGTATTTAGTACAAAAATGCACTTGTTGTCTATTAAATCATACATTTTAAAAGTTATTTGAGGAATTCTTAAACAATTAGAAAAAAATATATAAATACTAGTACAAATTACAATCTATAGAAGAAGTTTTTGATATGGATTCCTAAGATAGAAAAGTTATTATTATTATTATTATTATTAATTTAGCTAATATTAGATATCAGTCTAATAAAGATAGTTTATTGTCATTGATTTTTATTAGGGTAGAAATCAAGAAAGAATTTAGATGAAAACAATCCAAAAAGAAAAAGAAAAAATAATAGTAATAATAATAATAATTTTTACAAATAAAATAAGCTATACCCATTGAATAGAAAAAGAAAAAATGAGAGAAAGAGAAGAATTAGTAGAGAGAGAAAAGCAAATGTGGAGAAAAGAAAAAGAGAGATAAATATTAAAAAAAGAAAAGATCCTGTGTTTCCAGGTGTCTTTTTTCTTTTTTCTTTTCTTTTCTTTCTTGTTAGTGTGTATGACCGTGGCAGTGCCGCGGTGAAAAAACAAAGTTGCTGGTTCCTCTTTTCCATTGTGTGCATAGGAAGACCCGCAGATCAAGCAAGTTGTTGGCGTGGCGACTTGGTGGAGGCGTCATCATTGACGTCTGATCTGTGGAATTATTTCGAAAGCTTCCTTTCCTTATTTTCTTGTGGTTTTTGTTCCATTCTCTTTGTGCGGTTGCTGAATTTGAAGTTGGCGGTGCTGTTACGATTTCTTTTGTCTACGATGGGACACCAGTGTGAAGCGGCTCAGGAATCATTTCACTTGCAATGGCGGTTGTTGAAAGGCATGGTGCGGTGTGTTGGAGTGCTTCGTGCTACAGCAACAATCTTCGTGCTGGGAAGCGCATTGCATTGGTTGATAACACAACGAGGTTCCTTGATCCACCTGTAAATCGGTGAACTCAGAACAAGCTAATGCAATGTTCCCATCTTCACAATTAGAGTGTAAGATTAGTGACCCAGTTGTTGGCCAGTGGAATTTATTAGCATTGGGGTCGTTGCTGTAGTGTTCAAACTGAACGATCAGGCTTTGGCCAAATAGATCAGCTACCCACGGTTTACTTAATTGTTGCTGAATTCTTGGCGCGTGATTGTGGTCACAATTATTGAATTTGTGAATCGGGCGTTGATTCGTTTGTCTCGTGCACTGACATATGAGTCAGCAATTTTGAACCGGTAGTGGGGTATTATTGCTGCTGTCATTTTCCACGTGGTGGTGGTGTTTACCTCCTCTCTAACATCCGAATTTGAGTCGCTGCTTGGTGCAAGGTTCTAGTAGCCAAAAAAAAACAGTAAGAACGGAGGCTTGTTTGCGCTAGATGCCCCTTTGCAAATGGTGGAGCAGAGTTGGCTCACCATCTTTCACATATTTGTCTTGATGGAGGAGTAAATCCCAGTTTAAGTGGCTTCCATCAGGTTTTGGCTCTGTGTGTTCACAACATTGGATTTCATTGTGGAGGGGGAACTCACATTATAATCTGCAATCGCAAGTGAATTCAACTGTTGGGTTCGGTGGCGCAGTGGGCATAAAGTGGAGCTATAGAATTCAAGTTGAAGAAGGCAGTTCGTGGTTATTGTTTGCACAGTGAAAAAAATTTGGTTATTCCGTGCCTTCAACGACGCTGTGCGTGCTACAGCTCGGGTGTCTGATCGTGGGAAGAGCCTGCAGATTATAGTGGCGGCTCATCCAGTAATCAGGTGAGCAAGCAGGTGAGCAACCTGAGGTGGTGGAGCTCGACTCACAGCAAGTCAAACTATGCGGCAAATTCCTCCAGCTTGGTAAGGACTCCAGAACAGTGACGTCGTGAGTAGGATAGGGTTGAAAAAATTAGGTTAGAAGAATTTTAGGTTAAAATGGATGATTTGTGTATAGATGAAAGAATTAATAAATTGGATGAAGATTTAGTCAAGGATGAAGTTTTGGCATGGATGAATTCCAAGCATAGATGATAAGTTATTCATGGATGAGAAGTTATTTGTAGATGATAATTTATACTTGGATGATTTTTGTTAATGGATGAATTTTAATAAAATAAAATAAAATAAACAAACAAAATATTAAATTAAGAATTAAGAGAAGGAATTTCTTTAGGCATGCATTTGGTGAGTAATTTGCTATTATGAATGTGAGTTAAAGGTTGAGGTTTTGTTGAATATTTTAGGTGTTTTAAAAAGATTAAAAAGTGATTTAATTAGAATTTAAAGAAGAGCTAGAGCTTATTAAACTTGCATAGTTAATTCACTTATTATGAACTAAAATAAACTTCTAATTAGTAGGAGATTGTTTATTTCACACTTGGTGATTTAAAGAGGTTAAGAATGAATTGATTAAGATCTAAAAAAGAGCTAAAATTTCTAAAATTTTCATAGTTAATTTATTTGTTATGAACTAGAATAAACTTCCAACTAGTGGAGGTTTATTTTAGCTCACAAGTTTGAACCTCATTGTTGACTTCTTCCATATGCATAAAAATAGTATTTCCATGGTTTATATTAGAAATACATGAGATTTGTATCTTAAGAGTTTTGACAAGCTTGTGAAGATCTGCAATAGTTGCAAATCTATTCTCACTTCTATGTGAGTAGTATCCATAATTTTTCCTTCTATAGATGACTCAAATAAATTCACAAGTCAAATTAGAAGAAAGTAATCTGTAACTTCTAATACCAAATAAAATTTTCTACAAAGAAGGCATAGTCTACTCTCTTTAAAGAAAAAAAAATCAATGTTTAGAAAATTAAAAGTTAGTTTAAAGGTAGATAGTCTACAACCTTCAAAACATAATAATAGAAGTGAGGTAATTCACTCACTTTTAAAATAAAACAAGAACAACAAGTTAGCACTCTTATCAAAGTCTTAGGGACATAAATTTCAAAAAATTAAATAATCAATAAATTTTTGTATCATTCAAACAAACTAAAAAATCATTGAAAGATGGAATAATATTAAATTAGAATGGCTATTGCCAAAAACAAAAAAAAGTAAAAGGTCTTAAAATAAGACTAATGATTAGAAAGGTGTTGATAAGAGTGAAGAAGACTTCACTCTTCCCTCCCTATATACTATCTAACTAAGAGTTATGTGGCGACGTTTTATAGGACCTCCAACACGTATCCAATTTGTGAGACACATATTATAACTTATAAAACAAATTTCTTCTATACATGCCACATTAATAGCTTGTACTACAAGCTATCCATACATATGGCACATGGCTAATTTATTGGCTAAGTTTCTAACCTATCAATCTACTATGAAGTCAAATGTAAATCTATAAAGCTTCTAAAAAGCTTTGCTACAAAATAATATCAAATCTATATATATATATATATATATATATATATATATATATATATATTTATCTTCTATCTAATACTGCTTATCTAGGTAAATATGTCTATCTATGATAGCAATTAAAAGAAGGTGATTGGCAATCCTTTGCTACATTCAAGGTTAGGCTTGGTGTGATTATAGTTCTATATATTTATTCTTTCTACTTTCATAGTCAATGTAAATTCAAAGATAGCATATTGAACTCTACTTTTGAAGATTATTTTATATTCTTATATATTTGTTGTTAACTTGGAGGAAGTTAGTATAATAGGTCTACCTATAATACTATCATTGAATATTGAATATATTACTATATTTGAAAAGAAGGGTCTTTTTATAAATTCAAGTTGTGCAAATCTTTTGAGGCAATCAATCTAAGTGAATCTATATTCTTGTAACAAAATGATATCTCGTTGTAGGTGCAATTTTTGTATGAGAAATCATAATTCTCAACATTTCTTATACCTTTTAATTCTTTTCTCAAACATTGGATATTATACAATGCCACAATTAGAATGTCAATCATATATTGTATTCATTTTTTCTATCTATAGTTTTTATTCAAAGCAAAGAAGGAGAGTCAAGTATAATATTATATTAAGATCTTTTTGGTATGAATTGTCAAATGCTACTCTTTAAGCTAAGTATGTTATTTCATTTATATGTTTTAATATGGAATCTTGATGGTTGCCTACTAAGAAGGATAATGGCTTTTAATACTTGTTGTGGATGTATTTGTAAGTTGATTGTCAAATAAGATTTTGGCCATCTAATCACAAATTAGAATAGTATCTGTGATTGTCTATCTCAATTGCCAAAGTACATCTATCCAAAGCCTCAAGGAGTTAAATTTGTTGTTTTTATAAGTGATTTCAATCCGTAGTCTTTGCATTGTGGAATTGACCATGTATGTTTGTGTTGTGGTTATTATTTAGTCTTGTTCATTGAGCGCATATTGCAACTACAACATATGCAAGGAAGCATTTCTAATCTTATGCACAAAAGTTTTAAAAAAGAAATCAAACTTGATTCTTATCACCATTAGAAAAATGTACCTTTGCAATGGTTTTTCTTATAGATATTCAATTTTTAGTGTATGCAAAAATCAAGGATGTATTAAGATGGAGTTATAAGAAAAGATTCCTTTTAGTTGATTAAGATTTTTTGTTATTTGAAACTATTTTGTTGGTTTCGTTTTTATCCATATAAATTTTATTTTTTGAAGTGTTCATGTGGATCTTTTGCAATGGTTATGCCTATTATTATTGAAATTTCTTTATCTCCTCTATTTAATTTAAATGAATTACGATTAGTTTTTAGTAAATTCTTTAAGTTGATAGGTTTGCTATGTAGTCGTTTTTTTATCTTCTTTTCAATTGAGTATACAATGCTTTGCATGATGCTTGATACTTTGGCATCTATTGCATTTTTTTGATAAGCCATTGTACTTTATAGTATGTTCTTTTTTGCTTCCTAAAGAATTGGATAATACCACTAAGTAGAAGAGTTTTGTAATGTCATTGACTAAGATGTAGACTCTAAATCTTGCAACTTTGCTTCTATAAGTTTTAGAGGGGTCCTAGCAATCACTTCTTTAATGCTATTAATTCTTTCATGAAAAATTGAGAGATACAAAATAGACGGCTTAGTCTCCTAAGTTGAATCTAGATTGAGTATATAGTGAGATGAGAGGCTGACGCAGATTTGGGATCCAAATCAACTTGCCGCATAGTGAAAAAAAATTCTTAGTTATTGAATTTGTATTGTATGAATAATATTTTTTTTGTGCCTTATTTGTTAGTAAATTGTACTTCAAAGTAACCTCCTCTAAGCATTATGGTTTAAGAATATGAGTTATAAAGGATGTAAGTGGTCCATTCATAGAATATCCTTATTTTTGGATTATTTTTCAAGTACCCTATTAAGATATGTCTCTCTTCATGTGTGATTTATACCTACAATTATTACATTGTATTTGGGATAAAATTGATATTGATTGTGTTGTGTGCAAGGTGTAATTGTAATATCTTTGGTTCTACTCATATGGATGTGTTTGGAATATAAAGGATCACTATGTCAATTTTAAATGCTTATATCAACATCTTTGCTTCCGATTTCACTTGTTCTATGAGTTTTAGGAGCTCCTCTTCTATTATGTACTAGTATGATAATCTTAATTGAAAATTAGATCAAATAAAGTCTTTTGTAGAATTTTATTTATTTTATTTTATTTTAGTTTATTTTATGAATGTCTTGAAAGTTTCCATTGTATAATGGGTCAATTTTAATGTCTTATGTAATAATGTTGTCTCTTCTCCAATCATTGGATCATCCATCGTATAATGTATTGAATTTTTTCCCTTGGTATGGCTTGGATTACCTATCCTTTTTGGCTAGTTGGAGTTTTGGTTCTAGAATAAGGTGTGAACAACTAATGTGGTTCCAATATCTTGTTGATTGATGAGATGGTTCATTTTTGTCTCTATTGTGGTGTTATATGATAAAACGGCTATTAGGTGAAATAAAAAAGATTTTTTTTTTTATTATAGAGGATCCTAATTAAAAATATATAATAAAAAAATATAGATAAAAGATAGGCAAGTAATAAAATCTTATAATATTATAATAGCCTTTTATAAAAATAGATTCTATTTACTTTATATGGCCATTAATAAAGAAAAATAAGGTAGATTAGAAAAATAAAAGATATAAGCATTTGTAGAAGGAAGTAAGGAGTTGATTTTAATAAAAATTACCTCAAAAAAACAAGTATTGATATTTGGAGAGGAACAATTGCCAAACAAGCTTGAAATTAGATCTATAGGTACAAAACCGTGCATATATGCCATTTTCAGTTTTCTTTTTCAAATTAAAGAATTGAATTTGAGAGCAAACTTGAAAAGAGATTTTTGAGAATTAGTTCTATATCATTTGGATTAATATTAAAGTTTTGATGGATTTTCAAATTTAGTGATGTATTTGGTGGATTTAGATTTTAAGAAATAAAAATCAGTTTGAAAATTTGAGGATTTTGTGAGTTTTATAGCATATTTATAGATAAAAATTTGGCAATTTGTTGTTGTACTTGTTATAAATGTGTGTTAGAAATTTGATATCAATTGAGTAGTTAGATTGAAGCATAGAAGAGTTTTTGTAGATTATAGTCTTATAAATTGGAATTTAGAAGATTGATGAAAATTTCTAAGATATCTGTTAATCCACTAATTGGATTGAAATACAATTTTTTTCAAAGGTGTTTAACTTGACTTCAAATAATTGTATAAAGTTTGGAATCAATTGAATGGTGAAATTAAGAGATCGTGGTTTGAGAATGTCAACATCAATGTTGAAAAAGGAGGTTAGCCAACATCCAAGTGGAGTTTAGAGAGTATCATCTATTTGATATGTGCAATCTTCTTCAATTTTTTTATGCTTGTTGGTAGCTTAGTTGTTGCAAAGTTTACAAATTTTGAATCAAAATCAATAGTTTGAGCATTTGTTATTGAATTTTCAATCTACTATAGGATTTGTTAAGAATTTGTTTAAGATTTAAGATTTGATTAAGGATTGATTAGAGTTGGTTTAGGGTCTAGGGTTCCATTAGGATTTGTTTAGGATTTATTTAGGATTTGATTAGAATTTGATAAAGATTTATTTAAGATTTGATTAGAATTTAGGATTTCATTAGAGTTTGGTCTAGGTTTAAAATTTAGGATTTGATTAAGATTTGATTAGGATTTAATTAAGATTTCTATTTTTGATATTTCTTTAAGTTTTTTTTATTATATATATTTCATTAAGGCTAATTTATGATTTCTTTATGTTTCTTTTGTAAGTTCTTGAGACTTCTTTTGGATTTAATTAAAGATTAATTAGCATTATTATAATATAATTGGAATTTGTTTAGGATTCTATTAGAATTGCTAAGATTAACCTATTGCAAGTTCCATTTTTCCTTCCACAACTAGGTATCCAGTACATTCTCAAGTAGACTTCATACAATATGACAGTAAATGTATTTCTATTGTCTTTTTGCAGTAATATATGTTGCTCGTATTGTAGTGGTGTCGGCCAACACTCTCTCCATTAGAAAATGGAAAGGCTGAATTCAAAGCTCCCTTTGGAGCGTCTTTCCTCCGAATTTATTATCTATCAGCAAATTGCTGCTTTGCAATCTCATAGAGTGTTGCAGTGCTTCTCCGACTGTTTCAAACTATTCCGCTCACAAATCACTCAAAAAACAAGCGTTCTGGTAATTTCGGATTGTCAGGGTGCTGTTCCATGAAATACGGAGCCTCGCCGCCGCTCTGCCCTGCTCTACCACTGCTCTACCATTAGAGCTACTCTCCCGGGTTGGCAACGGGAAAATCAGCACAGATTATATACAAACATTTTTGTCTCGGTCTGCTAAGAACCAGTAGCTCCATGCATTAGTTCCTCAAGCCCGAAATCGTGCATTGTCGTGTCTGTGACCACGGGAGAGTGATCTCGTTGTGCTCTTCTGAAGAACTTGTTCGCAATACACACCGAACGTGGTGGTGTTCGAAATTAAAGGTAAGAAGTCCGTGTTGGTCCGAATCAATGGGAACCCTAGAATCCTAAATCACCGTCATACGATTTCCAAATAGATACTAACAACAGGTTTGTTGGAAACTGTTGTTGTGATCAGGGTGGAGACGCCGCGGTTGAAAATGATATTCCAAGTTTGAAAGTTGCTCACTATTTTTCCATTTCTGTTGTATAGTATCTTTTGCAGCAGCGACTGAACACGCATGTAATTCCACTCTCTACTATTAGACTCTCAAATATCGCAAAAAAAAAAAAAAAAAAAAAAAAAAAAACGATTCCGAATATCAGTGCGTGCTGGAACTGGGCCCTCAGTGGTCGTCGGCAGTGAACTGACCATTCCAATCACTTGTTTGGTCGACCTTGCGAAACTAATCCACACGCTCCATAAACTAACAGTGTCGTGTGAATCTGGATAACGAAAATCCGTCCTGAATTCGTATGTACGAATTCATGAACACCCTCTCACCTGGTTTGACGTCTGAATCTCCAAAAATAGGGTGAGGGATCTTGGAGGCCTTGCATTCGATGGTGAGAAGATCGGGGTTCAATTCATCAAGGGTCGTTTGGTCAAGCAGAACGAGATGGCTATTTTAAAGTCTAGCATGACTTGGATTAACCCAACATGGGCTCTCATCTTTTGCAGGGCACTCGTTGTCAGCTCGGAAGCTGACTGGTTGCAATACGTAGCGTCACCAACCGGCGCTTGACAATTGGGCACCGTGATGTCTTTAGGACAATTAATGAGGCTGGTGCCGAATTGTGATTAGGCGAAGCCAGGTTGACGACACCCATTATTTGCAGCTTAATGAAAAGTGCACAAGGACTGCTTCATACCCTATAGCAGCAGCATGTGGCATCACGAAGCATCATCGATCGGCACTTTGACACCGAATATGTTCCCCCTCATATGGCCCTCACTCTCATAACATTGTTCCCATGCGGTTGACTAGCTTTTGTGCTACCTCACCTGGATTGAGCACTGCGTTCGTGTAACAGGTGAGGTTAGAGAAAGGTAGAGCTGGTGGAACGTGGGTAAACTTTCAAAGGTGGGAGGAAGAAGAGGAACGCATCTGTTTGTTTTTTGGGTATTTAGGGTAAGAAAAGAAAGAGGAAAAGAGGGAGTTGAGGGGACGAGGAGAGATTGCAGGTTGGAGGGAATGGAGGGGATGGGTCGTAGAAGGTGTGGGTGGTGGCGTCAAGTGCTTTTGATAGTTGGGATGTGGCTGGTACTGGCGAGGAGGGCGCAGGGGATTCGTTTTGTGATCGATAAGAAAGAATGCTTTCAGCACGAAGTGCCCTTCGATGGAGATCATGTTCGCGTTTCTTACGTAGTTATCAAGTCTGAGAGTTCATGGAGCTTCGAGCACACCCCGGTTGGATTGGATCTGATTGTGCGTTTCTTCTCTCTTTTCACCTCTGTTACCGCCCCTGATCGGCAAATTTTTGCGTTTTCAGTGATTTCAAGCAAGTTTAGTTTAGAAGTAACAGATAATCGAAGAAGCTAGCAGAGTGCTTAGTCACAAAACTTACAAGTGCTTACTGAGAGAAGATTTTAGGAAATTCGAAGTGTTAGGAAAAGGGTGTGTGTGTGTCTCTTGCTCTTGCTGCATGAGATCGAGTCGGGCCTCGGGTATGCGCTCGCAGTACTGCACTGAAACTAAGGGGGATGTGCAGGTTGAAGGGCCTGCAGGTCACCAGGTGCACAGCTCGAAAGCTCTAGTGGAAGACAAATTCGACTTCACAGCAGCGCGCAAAGGACTGTATAAATTTTGCTTCTTCAACCGGAATTCGATGCATGAAACCGTTGATTTCGATGTTCATGTTGGCTACCACATTTTAAATGCAGACGAAGAACATGTGAAGGATGGTATGTGTGCTCGTTGACTATGCATCCTTGATGCCGACACGGATAAAGATTTTTTTAACAGCACTTAAAAAATATTCAATATGTAAATTTGAGTTTCGCGTCTATGAGGTGTTCATGCTGTTTCTATTCCCACCTATTCTTAGCAAAGTATAGGTTTAGTGGCTAATCCAGGGTCAGTTCAGTGTAGAAAGTTGTAACTGGAATGAGGTGGTTGAATTGCAGAGCATATTGAGCCATTGATGATGCAAATTGAGAGCCTAGAGGAATCGCTGTACTCGATCCAGTTTGAGCAACACTGGCTCCTCGCACAAACTGACCAGCAAGAGATTGGTAAGCTTGCTACAGTCTTTTCCTTTCTTTTTAATTGGAGATGAGAGTACCTAAATAGCAATGAACCTGCGGTTTGAATTGTCTTCTTTGGAGGATTAATGCAGTACATCAGATTGTATCGACGGTGATTAACTTCGGTGATGGACCATCGTCGTTCATGAAACAAATATTTTATGAGAATTCACAAAATAGATAGAATGGAGCTTGATGGTAAAGCTTTGCACTACTTACAATGCTAATTTTTTCACATCTTTATTCAAGCCTTGTTTCCTATAAGTCGTTAAATTCTGTTGCTTTACGAGTTTGGCGTTTGTATCTGGTGCAGTTAACAAAGCAATGAGCAGGCGAGTTGTCTACAAGGCGATGCTCGAGGCACTAGCTTTAATGGGATGCAGTGTGCTTCAAGTTGTGTTGCTACGGCGGCTTTTCGAGAAAAAGCTTGGGCAGTCACGAGTTTAAATATAGATTCAGCTTCCTGCTGTACATCAAACATTTTAGTAAATCATTTCCTTGTTTCATTTCTCATTTTACAATTTCCCTGTGAAGCAGAACCCATAGAGTACAATCAGATGAGATGTCACAAGGGATGTTCATCTTTCCATGTCTACCAGCATGGACAATCAATCTGTCTTGAGTTTGTGAGATCATCCTGTGACAGAACTGGTTTCCAATTTTTTGTTAAAATATCGAAACTTCGGACAGCTTGAGGTCTGTTGATACGTTCATTCGAAATTTTTTTTCTGTTTCCTCTCAGAACATATGTATATATATATACACCTACTTTTATGCTCCATTTTTGAAGTGATTTTCGAACTGTTTCTGATCTGGCGATGTTAGCTTCTATCTACTTAATGTCACATGCTAAACTTGTTACATCCGTGTTCATTACCGAGACAAATTTCATCTTCATTAGTATGTGTAATCAGTAGCAATATAAATAGTGCAAAAAGTCTCGGTGAATAATACAATTTCAATGTGCTCACTGTTCATTTGTCTAGAAGTCGAACTTGCTGTGGCATTCAACTGTGGTCATGGATGGCGTAACAAGACTTAGCAATAGACGTACCACATCCATTATAGTGCTCAAAAGTGCCTGAAAGTGCTTAAAAAACTTTCACATAGAATGACAATGTACAAAACATTTACTCAACCACATTGAATGGGCTTCAGAAAAGTAACCCATCAAAGTATTTATTGTATATGTTGTCTGTTGCAGTACATACTGCGTTACATATGTTCACCAGATAAACCTTTAATCCCTTGTTGCATGCAACTACCACCCACAAATTTCTAAATTGTTCTTGATATTTGTCTGTTTTGCATTTATTTCCACATAGTTTTTGTCCAAGCAAAGGTAGATGCTTACATACACATATTTCGAATGTATAGTTGATTTAATTATAATCTAATTCATATATAACGTTTAAATAGTAATTTATTGCATGTAACATAATGATTTTAAAAATCATATGCAGAATTTAAAACTTAAGAAGAATAAGAAAAATTTAATATAAATATATAAATATATTTGTATATCAAGGAGTCTTTATTCGAATTTCCAAGTTAAATTCTATTGAACCAAATATTAACACCTTATGATATTGAGATTCTAAAATCATTCACTACATCAAAAGTAATTATAATTTTATACACATTTTTAATTTATCTAAAATACGATTTATGTATAAAATAAGATAAAGTTTGTGACATTAAAGCTCCAATTTAAAACTTCCAAAATCAACGTTTTCAATTCTATATAATATAAGCTACATTTAATTTTTTTAATAAATAATTAATTCGATAATGTCACAAAGACACCTTTGTTTTTAAAATTCCAATTAAAAGACTGTATAAAAATTTTAAACTCCATTTGTCTTTTACTTTACAATAAGCATGAACATCTTTAAATAATATATTACATGACCAGAAATTCCATGCCAGATCCTGTAGCAAAATTTTCTATAAACAAATGGTTTTCTTTTGTAAACCAACCTTGTTCTATATATATATATACACACACACACACACACAAACAAAAGATTATTAAAATTATAAAACATTTTTTTTATCTAAATAAATTTATCTGATACGAATGTAAAACAAAATCCATATCATGCAACAAATCAAGTAGAAGTCCAAGGATCAACGATATTTTCATCCACCTAACGACATTTGTCTAATATGTATTACAATATAAATATTGTATAAGCTTTCTGTTTAGAAGAGTCTCCTATCGCCGTGCTCATGCCGGAGTGGTTATCGGGCATGACTAGAAATCATGTGGGCTCTGCCCGCGCAGGTTCGAATCCTGCTGAGCACGAAGTCGACCCTGAGTTGATTCTAAGATTTTCGTAAGCATTGATAAAATAGCATCAATTAATCGCACGTGCAGAGATGCCATTTTTTTTGCCATAGAAGAGATTAATGATTTGCGTTATCTTGATTTAATATTATAGTTACATGCAATTGCTCCAAAATATGTTTCTTGATTTGAAAATCAAATCAAAACCATGCTTTAAACCAAAAATTTAGGACTAAATTTGAATTGGTTTGGTATTTAGTTTGATTATTTTAGTTAGTGAAATTAATTAAATTCATTTCAACTGTAGGTACAAACCTAAGAAACTTCATGTTGTCCTCTATAATTGTCAAACAATTAATATATTCAATCAAAGAATATTTGGATAATTAATATATTAGTCTATTCTTAGAACTTACAATCAAAACCTCAAAGAATTTTTCTAGTATTGATAATAAAAAAATGAAGAAAAAAAAAGGCATGAAAATATTATTAACAATATCTTTATATTACAATTCTGGTCTACATTTTTGTTGAAAACAATATTGTATAAAATAACTCAATGCTAATCATGCACAAGATTACAATGATCAAATACCAAAATAAGGTAATACATTTTATTTTCATTCCATTTTTGTAATGTAACAATGTTAAATTCTAATTATAACAATAACATCAAACATATCTCAATCTTCCTCTGAGATTGAATGTATATTGGGAAATTGCACTTGGGTGAATGTGTAGTTGAAAACAGTATTTCAAAAATCAATTAAATCAAGAAAATACCTAATTTTTAAATTGAAATAGTAACATTAGTGTCAGAATTAGTCAAATTATAAAATTTTTAAAACAAAAATAAATTATCACATAAACAATATTGCCTATTCATCCGCCACAACATACAGTTGACACACATGAAAGTGAAGTGTGTTTATTTAAAATATGCAAAAAATGTAGTATCAGGAAATAAAACTCTTCGACAAACTGAGTTTAAAGATGAAAGTATTAAAAAGTCATGAAGAATTTCTTGAACTTTCTACAGGTCAATCTAATGTATGTGGTTTTAAAAATCACATACATGTTTTATAGAATTGTTGAATTTAATGTAACGAATACCCAGGTCTCTTTTTATATAATGTTAGAATCTAAATCAAACAAAAAATTGAGTCAAAGTATTGTATCATTATAAATCTATATTTGTTTTTCTCATATTGTCTTCTGTTCTATATCTATTTATTTATTGTTGTTCTTGTTTTTGTTGTTTTATTTATTTATTTATTTGTGTTTTGTGTGTGTGTGTTATTTATTTATTTATTTATTTATTTTCCATATTTCAATTTTCTCTCTCATATTCTAAAATATGTTATATTCATTGGAAGACAGTTTAGATGAAATCTTACTAATGCTTCTTTAGGAGTTGATTCATACTTAGTAGGGTTCAAAAAATAAACAAAAAATTTAAAAATAACCCTGGAGGCAATCAAGTTGTTTAAACAATAAAATGTTCAATAAATTATTATTATTATAAAAATAAAATGTGTGGATTTGGCTAGAAGCATTGTCTTGATCAAAATTAAGTGATGTCTATTCCAAACTCTATCTACCAATTTCTTTTTTATGACTTTTTAGCTCTCAAAATCAATATTAAAAAAACTAATATATATATATATATATATATACTAGTGGTTAAACCATTGGCTTTGTCAACATCAAGTACGTTTTTGGTAGCCAATAAAAAAAATAAGAAAAACAAATTATACCAATCAATGTCCCTTATTGTAATTAAAAAAACAAAAATTGGCGCCACGTCAGCTAGGTCTGGGTTGGGTTCATATGTGCTTCTGCTACCACCATTGTTGCCGTCTCATCTCGAATTAGTTCGTCCCATTCCAATAACTAAGTAACTTAGCAATAATTGGGTTTTACCACCCTACTCCAGCCAATGGCATTTTTCATTTTTTTTTTATACAGATAGATATATTCATTCCTTACAAGTCCCATGAAAAAATCACTTCTAAATTGAAGTGATTTATATTCATTGTAGTGATGGTTGTCTGTACCTTGCATTTCAACAAGCAACTACAGCATTCAAGTATGACAAATATGGTAATTGAGCATGAATTGTCAAATATTTTAAAACTCTTGAACTTATCAAGTTCTCACTGTCTCCTGATTTGCGATTTAACATCACATGCATGCCTTTTAAATCGAAGGTCTTCTACTTCAAAGTTTGCTTCAAATTTATATTTTGATTTTAGCATCGTCAATTTTACAGAATAGGAGGCACTATGCTTTGGAACGGCTGGCACCTGATGATGTCCATCGGTGCAAATTTCCAACACCTTTTTGCAAGAGGTATTTTTTGTTTATTGTTATTACTTTTTTCTTCTGATTTTCTTTTCGTTTTGATTTTAATTTACATTGCAGTGCTTCAAATTTCACGTTTTAATTTACATTACAGTACATTCATTGTTCCGAGTAGGCTTCATTCATTTCTTCATTTATTCATTGCTTGCTTGCAGTGTGTTGGAATTGCAAAGGATGCCACTGTCACTGTGACTTTCTTTTCCACTTGCAAATTCAAGAACATGGGTTCGTGGAAGTGTGAAACTACTGTTTCCGAAGAAGACCATAAATAGAGAGTGTTTTGTCGAGTTTGATGAACATGCAAGCTGTTGTAGCGGCGTTCTGATCTTGAGGTCTGCAGTGATTTGACATAGGAATGTTAACATGTGGTATTACAGGCGTTGATGTAGAGTTGGGATGGAGAATGAGATTGAGCAATTTACAATTTAAAATCCGAAACTTATTGTTAAGTTTATAGTAACTAAAGGTATAAGTTCCTCTTAAAATGAATAAGAAAGTGATAATTCTAACTAAAAATATAATTATACAAAATAAAACAAAATATGAAACATGTTTCTAATCAATAACACTTAGTACTTCCAGTTCTTCTCTCTTTCAATTCCTCCGCACTTGCTGTCAGCTAGGTCCATCAAAAACAGGGTCCTCCAGTCTTTGTGTATTCTTCCCACTTCTCACATTCAACAAAAGTAAAAATTAAATTAAATGAACTATACATGTGTGTGTGTGTGTGTGTGTGTGTGTGTATATATATATATTGATACATTTATTTTCCTTTTTTTTTTAGAAAATAAAGTGCCGGAAAACTGATAAAAGATGAGTAAAAATCAATCCATGAAGGAAGGGCAGTTTTTTTCACTTGGGCACGGAATTGCTTCTGCAGTTTCTGCACAATTTTCGTATGCTGTTGAGCTTGCCTCAGCAACTGGGTCTCCAGATTGTCTTTTGTCTTGTTTACCATATCTTCACACTGCACAAGAAAGGAAGGGATTTTTTAAATTTAAATTTAATTTATTATTATTTTTCAAATATAATATAAAAGTTGTATATGAATCTTGTTTTAATTTGTTTCTAAATTTGCAATTGTTAAGGTGTTTGTCATTTCGCATGATTAATAAAAATGCTCTCAAATCCTAAACCCTATTTCTCAATGAGTTGTGGTGCTGGCTACCACCTTTTGTTTTTCATCTATTTGTAATTTGAAGATTTGTGTTTGCAGCTGATGGCATTGAGCATCATAATTTTGCTGTATGGCCCGTTTTTCCTCTTCTTTGGCGTTCAGTTCACTTTGCATACATTTGATCTGATAATGCACTCCCCATGATGTGAAAAATTTATTACCAAGGACTAAAAGAATAGTTACAACTAAACCCCTCCCCTCCAATTATAAACAAATACATAAAGGAATAAATAAAGCTATATCTCAATGATAAAAGAAAGAGATTAATAATTCTTTTGTTGTAAATTTAGTTTTTGTTAGATAGACATTAAGGGAAGAGAAAAAAAAAAAAAAAAAAAAAAAAAAAAAAACCTCTTGTTGTAGTCTTTGTACTTCAGTGGTTGAAGCCATGAGCTCCTTCTGCTTGATGTGGATGTTCTTTTGTAGTTCTTCAACCTGATGGAGAAATGATCAGAACCACAACCCTGTTATTTATTTTTCCTATCTATTTTTGTCCCTTTATAACATCATTTTATTTTCTTTTCTTTTCTTCTACATGAACACAATATTTTTCTATTTCTTATTTTCTAGAGCCTGGAAAAGACACAACAAAGCAAGCAAGCATACCCTCCTTGACTGGCAGTGAAGCTCATGTTCATTTTGCACACATGTGTTGGTCACACATGACAGATTTTTCTGCAATGCAAACGCTTTCTCTTCCTGCATATTCTCCACACATCTCTCATTTCCCCCTTTCACTATATTCTATGCTTGTGTTAATTTCATTGAAAATATTGATTTCCACTCCTAAGCCTATCTCCTCACTAATTACCACAATATGGATAACAAGTTGTCAAATTCATTTACACACACTAAAAAAATATTTACATATATACATAAATATAAAGAGTACCAGTTTAGCAATATTAGCAGCACATGTGCGCCTCAAGTTCCTGGTTCAGAAGAAAAACCCAGCATATCAGGAAAAGAGCGATGTCAGTGATACCAGGTGCAGCACAATTAAAAAACACTTCAATGAAAGAATGGGATGATAAGAAGAGTAACATTACGTCATCTCGTCTTGGAGATTTGTGAGATTGGAGAGAGTGTGCTCATGCGATTCCAGTCCCATCTTCACTTTCTCATTCTGAAAGGGAGGGAAACCATGCGGCCAAGCAAAATCTTAACTAGCAACGTCAACATTACACAAGTGTATCTGTACACAGACGTTGTCTCTGGGTCATTGTCTATAAGCATCGAGCTCGGAGATTCATTCTCTTACCGCAAGCGATACATCCACCTTCGCAAACTTAAGCTCGCTCTCGATTTGGCTTCTCTCCAGTTTCTCCTGAATGCCCAACAAATCAGATGATGAGGAACAAGATGCAGAAGGAAGAGAAGAAGAGCTACTGGTAAGAAGTGTTGCAAGGATTCACAGAGTTGGTACTCTGCAATGGCTGTGGGTGTGTGGAGGAGAAGCGTACATTGGCGAGCTCTGACTGTGCTGCAGCTAACTGGGTCTCCAGGCTTTGCAGCTTCAGGTGCTCCTCAAACAACAGTTGGATGTGGCGTGACTTCTCCTGAACTGCTCCGGAGATCTGCTTGTGGAGCCCAAACTCCTGAACGTAGGAAAAGACAAGGATACTAGAGCTTGTGGGTTAAACTGAACATCGCCACAGTGGCCTCGGTATAAGACCTGTTTGTTTCGTGAATATAAGCCACAATATCAGAAGGGAAACAGAAACCAAATTTCAGGAGAAATGTATATTCACGAAACGGCAAACCTTTTCTAACCATTCCGACTCAAGGAAAGCGTGATTGTGACAACATTCTTCGAGTTTCATTGCATGCTCTGCCTGCGCATTTACCACTGTGTTCAGAACAAAGTCTTGCACAGGATGATTAAAACCACCTTTTTAGATGATGATGTAACACAAGCATGAAGTTAATTGACCCTGAGAATATAGAGATAAAATTTTACTACTCAAATCTACATGCATTGCTCTCCCTCCTAACGAAGAGCTTCGGTGGATGTGTGAATACACATTGATAAGGAGAGATAACCTTCTAAAATCACCACTGGTCATGACACCCAAAATACCTTCAATTTCTTGATTTCCTCGGCATGAAGCGTTGTCATGTCCTATTTTCAAGGATAAAAACATGAATTGGGCCACACAACGGATTTTAACAAATTGAGAGTAACTACTATTTTTTGAAAAGAATGTGCTTGGTGGTCTAGCTTTCAATTCCAGCACCTATAGCAGCTTTCAATTTAGAAGCAGTAATAGCTCTTTTTTTTTTTTCATTTTATTTTATTTTATTCCTTAAATATTGTCTTTTAGGTTTGCTTTGATAAGGAGAAGCATATCATACAGAAATATCTGCAGTTGTAATGGATTGTTTTGACTACCTCGACAGTTTTCGTGTGTGCGTCCCTTTCGTTTTGACAGAATTCTTGCAATTCTACCTCCCTGTCCAGGTGTTGCTGAGTAGCGCTCATCACTTCCTTCTGGAAATTCTCCTTCATTTGTCTTGTTTCAAATAGTTTCTGCGTCTTCTCCCTTTCAAGCTGCGATCAGTTCCACAATCAGGAAGTGGGTTTTTCGAAGATCTCCGTCGTGATTAAGCGATGTGGAACACCATGAAGTTGCTTAAAATCTTAAACTTAGAATAGAGAGGCCCTCAAAAGAAGGTGACTTAAGTTTTGAACTTCAGCACTGTGCTAGTTCTAAGCTTGAACGAGGTTGATTCTAAACATTAATCATGGTCGTTATCAAGGTTGCTCTCACCTCCTGTTTCCGAGTTTTTCTGTAGTCGGAGAATTCCTGCATCGTACCCACTCCATTTTTAGCTTTCCCATTTCTCCAACAAGAAGCAATTCTGGTTGATTCGTTATGTCACAGAATTTATTACTGTGAGGTTTTATTATTGTTGATGGTGTTTAAATATTTTGTTAGCATGATTTTGTTAGCGTTAACAATTCCAGAAACTTACCTTTTCAACAGCCTCTTTTGCAGCTTGAAGACTCTCGAGCCTTGTTGACTTCTCAAGCAATTCAATCTTGGTTCTCTCCAGTTCCCTACATCATAAAAGTAGAATAAAACAAACAGCGTAAACAAAGATGCTGAAGGTAGGCAAAGTAGAAGAAGTCACAGCTGCCCACCTTTTGGCCTGCTGTAGATTTAAAAAGTATCTGCTGGCATGAGGTTGGAAACCTCCACAAAACCCTAAAATGATGTGAGCTATTAAGGCGAGGATCAAGTGTAACCCATATAAAAGTACTGCAATTTACTTGTCTTGTATTGTTCACTTGGAAAACTGAATAAAGGTGAAGAGGGAGTTGTCTTGGAAGTTTACTGATCCTGAGACCACGAAATTGGAGGTCTTTCATGCAAAGACCAAGAAGTAAAAAATATAGCATCACAGAAATTGATAAGGTTAGAAGTACCTCGAGAATTTCGCGTTAGATAAACCGGCCTGCTCGCAAGCAAACCTGTCTTCGTATCCTCTCATTTTCTGAAATAATACACGATCAATTACGGTTCATTATCCATACTTCGGACGAGCAATCATCATTCAAGAGGTAGTCAGTGAATCGAAATTGCAGCAGTGACAACTATGGAACCCTAGAACCAGTTTCTTGTAATTAAATTTTCCAGTTTTTGCTTGAAACGAAATGTAGAGTACAACTGGCTTGTTGCAAGTTCGCAAAAATGGAACAGAATTTTTGGAATATTGTCAGATGCATAGTGACTTAATGTAGCCATGTTTGTATGCAGAAATCATACAAAAGAAAATAGAATAAAAAAAAAAAAGCTCGCCAGGGAATGCCACGATTCACAATCCTCGACAACCACGACCTGCGATTCAGTAGACTGAAAGATGATTACCAACCTGGTGGAGGTTGATTACTTCATGCTGCGCTCGAGCCAGCTCCTCTTTCAGAAAATTTTTCTGGTGTTCTGATTCTGCCAAAATTCTTTGAGACTTCTACAATGAAACCCATCCCACCCTTCACCTTCTTCAGGTTATCCACTGACGATCAGCAACAGAGGAAGGAAGGAAGGAAGGTAAAGAGTTGGATCCTTTCATTTATGATCGCTGGTGCCGAACACTGATTAACGTTTTGACACAGTTGGAAAGTTATGTTAATTTTGCACAGACGTTGGTGATACTGTAGAATTAGTACCTCCTCTGCCTCCTGACGTTCACGTCTGCTCGTGCCAAGAGAAATCCCGTTCGTGGAACCCATAGCTTCCGTGAAGTCCTTCAACCGCTGCTTGGCTTCTTTCAATATGTCTTGAATATCAGTCTCCAGGCATTCTTCCGACACACACCCAGGCTGATAAAGACCCAAAACACTTGAACCTCAGCGCAGCTTCAAACATAATGGCAACACAATGTGCTACGTAACCGCACAATGACAAGCGCGACACCATATCACAGATCATGCAAGGAGATAACCCACATGCGTTATAATCGAAGAAACCTAACAAACGTTAACCCACATTTTCCATACACTTCACAAGGCCAGTCTCACAACCTTGTCGACGTCGGCGTGTCGCAGGTCATCAGATGGAGGCCCGTCTGCGTAATGTTCCATGAGGCGATTGAGTTGAACAAGAGTATTGTGCAGGCGATCGTTCATATCGGACCAGCCTGGGATAACCTCCACTGGACTCGCCATTGTTGCTGCACAACAACGTCGTCTTTGCAGCAATCTCCGACTTCAATCGCACAACACTATCTCCTTCTCCTCCTTCTTCGTCTTCGTCTTCATCACGTTGCAAGAGGGTTTTTGCACTTTTCAGTGCAATGGGTACAAACCAAAATTCTACTGTTCTTGCAATCGAATATGAACGAGAAGCTGTGCACAATTACATTGAGAAACAGTGAGGCAACATCACACAGAAGAGCTTCAGCAGCTCCGGATATTGCAGCACCAGTTTCAGGAACTGGTTTGCCAGTCAGTGCATAAACAGAACTGACGGGAAACGGAGTGAGTTTTTTTTGTCATTTTGTTCTTTTTTGCTTTTTCTCTTTGTTTGTTTTTTTGTTTGTTTTGTTTTGTTTTGTTTTTTTTTTTGGTTTCCCTTTTTGTTTCTTAGTGATGGAGGTCGTTAAGCAATTCTTCCGTTGAGCTTCTTAACTGATTGAATATGTGAATGTTTTTCTTTTTTCAAAGTCTCCATGGTGAATGTGGTATATACATATATTAATGTTAAAGTGATCCACCCATTTACAAAATCGACCCATTCTACATTAACCATTCCATGCTCCCAATCCTTGTTCCCTCTGTTCCCAGCTTTCATCTCAACTTCCCTCGTTCCTAGCCCCCATTCGGAGCTTCCGAGGTGTAGACGAGATGTTCAAAAATCCATGGAGGTCTAATATGCCCGAATCTAGTGTTGTAGCAAGCTGTCAGCCATCACGTTACTATAGATGATTACCTTCTTGCTCCATTGATCACACAACACATTTTCTGTACCTGTGAAAAACCAGAAAAAAGTGAACAATTAAACTTGATCTTTTTCTAAATGCCTTACATTGCAACATGAAATTGATCAAGTTAGATCGGACAAAAAGAAGAGAGGTGACACTTTTTATTTACACTCACTATCCATTTCTATTTTCACTAATGAGACTTATGCAAAGCTTGTAATTGAATCTTCATATACACATTGAGCCTTATGTAAATTTGCATTATTGTCTAGTCTTTATTCAAATCTTTGTTGCAATTGTTATTTATCTTAAGCTATTTGCTATCCAAGTCCTTGCTCTTTGGAAAGAATCAGTTGCCAAGATTACATACAAGATCTTGTATACGATCTCTAAGTCTACATATTGTAGCATCCTTGAAAATTCACATAAATGCTATAGTTGTGCCAAAAACTACAATTTCCTTATATCTCAAATTGTATAAGAGGCTGATATTTGTATGCTATCAATGCAAGAATGCCATCAACTTCAATGGTTGTACACAATGCTATTGGAAGGTGCATACATGGGCTAGGTTTAAAATAGAGGTGATAGTATTTAAGAGTCTAACAATTATAAATTTGTTTTTAGCTTTCGAAAAAAAAGGTGAAGGCAATAGGAGCTAAAAATGGGCTTGTGAGTTTTAATATTAGACCTCACATCAAGAGCAATACTTCTTGAGTAGCTACATAGAACAAGAAGATGAAGGAACTACTAAAGAAGATCAATGACCTCTTTATCTTGTACAGTATAGATAAGGTGGTTGTGCTACCATCTACAAATAGTTGAATTGTTGCCATTATTTTGGAGCTAGCCCCATTTGGACTTTGAACTGAATTGCTATATAGGTGTGGTGCCAAAGGAATAGAAGAAGAGATAGCTAAATAATATAATGTTCTTACACAATTACGTGTAGAAACTTACTTTTGATTTGCATCGCTTGATAGACCATAATTGTAAGCTAGTAGACTACTGAAAAGATTCTTTTTGGGACAATCGGTTGAATTCTTATAATACAATTGATTTACAATAAGTTGCAAGGCAAGTACTTTGGAAGAAGAAGAAATTATCAATTGGCTGGAATTAGCAATATTGTAATTTTATAATATGTAAAAATTAACTAAAACATATAATATATTTAAAAGTGTTGATGTATATTAGAGTAATTAGTAGATTAATTTAAAGAGAGTTGATATAAGAAAATTTATTTTGAAATTTACCAATATTGATTATAATGTTTAAATTATATAAGATTTAAATATTCAATATAAAATTTAAGAAAAAGATTGGATCTCAAAGATGAAGATTCAAACCTCTAAAAAACTTATTTGGAAGGATGAAAACAAGGTATGGATACATGAAGGCAAAAGGTGAAGATCTTTATCTCTATTGATCAAAGGCCATGTCCAATAGGCATTTAGAAGGTTGTTTGCAACCATAAAAAGGATTTTAGCAACTTCAAGAAGACGATTTGAAAATCAAAAGGAAGAATTATAAGGTTTAGTATTTGGACTACAATTTGTATAAAAATTTTAGAGGATTTGGAGTTAGGATGATGAAGTTATAGCCATTTGAAGTTAAGGTGTCTTTTTAAGATATATTGTGCTCTTTTGAGAATACAAGGAATTTTACATTAGCTTTTGAAGATCAAGAGGTGTGGCTACAAGGCTGATTTTGAGACCTACTTTTTTTGTAAAGAATTTCTGCATTTGGAGTTTGCATGAAGGAGTTATAGAGTGTTGAAGACAAAACATGTAATTCAAAGGTAGTAAGTAAATCATATTATTGATAGTAATGGTTGAAGCCATATCTTGAGTTTTGGAAAAATTTTTAACTTAAAATTTTTAAAAGTGTGTGTTATTAGGTTTAAAAGTTATGTATCAAAATTTTATGGTATTTGAATACTTGGTTTGTGAGATATGAAGAAAATTAAAAATGGGTGTATGTAAGCAAGGGTTTAAAGCTACTATTAGGCTTTTGGCAATATCTTAAGATCTATAAAAAAATTACAATTGAAATTTGTTGTGGTAGTTGTTAAAAGTATATTAGTACTTTTTATAAAGCTTTGTTTTGTTTGGACAATCTGATCATGAGCTATGAATTGTTAAAGTTAAGAAAAATTTACCTTAAGGATATATATGGTTTTATAATATTTTTATTACATTTTTGGTGATCTTTGGTACTTACGGCTTATGTATTGATGTAATTGCCCCTATAGGAAAAAATTTATATATAAACTTGGTATTTTTTTTTTAATCTTGAGACTTGGTTGAGTAATTAATGACAGCCAAAAGCCAAACACTTTCTTGAGGCAAATTCTCTCTATTTCAACAATGACATCTATAGTTGGTGAGAGAAGCTACAATCAACTCACTGAGCAAGAATATAATTAGTTTATTGATTTAGCTTAGCAAATTGATATTGATTCTTTGAGCTTTGTCTTGCAATTAGATGAACATTGAAAACATACAAAACAAAGAGATTTGAGAAGGATTAGAATAGAAGTGGAGAACAATAGAAGCAGTGGCTTGAAACGAAGGAATGGAAATAAGAGTAATGTTAGTTAAAATAAAATGGGTCAATTTATCAAATAGATGAATCACTTTAACATTCCTTTATATATAAAAAAAATATTAAATTGATCCATCTATTTATTAAATTAAGCCATCCTATCTTAACTATCATCAATAAAATATATCATTTTTTAAAACTATTATTAGAATTATAGCCTTTATCTTGACTCCCCCTTGTTCTTAATCCTTGCTCCTTCCATTCTCAATTTTTATTCCAACCTCCTTTGTTTTTAGTCCCCATTCCCTTCTATTCCTAACCTTCATTCCAACTTCCCTCGTTTTCAACCTCCACTCTTTTTTTTTTAACCTTCATCCAAACCTCTATTGTTTTTGGCCCTTACTTCTCCCATTCTTAGCTCCTACTCTCTCTATTTCTAGCCTTCATCTTAACTTTCTTTATTCCCAGCCTCCTCCTCCCTCTTCTCCCTTCTCAACTCTCATCTCAACTTTTCCTTTCTCTTGTTTCTAGCTCTCATTTCAAATCCTTTTATTCTCAGTTTCCATTCTTAATCTATGCTCTCAAATATATATATTTTTGTTATAAAAAATTGATTTTATATAAATATAAATTGACTACATTATTGATTGCTTCATAAGTTTTGAATCAATGATATTGATTTTCTAACAAATTGAAGTAGTTTTTTATATTAAATATCAAAGATTTGATAATATCAGATAGTTTTTGACAAAAATATCAATTGTAGATACTAAATGGAATTTAGAACTTCTACGAAATGAGTGATAGAATTATAATTCTACAAGAAAATATAGCGAAAAATTAATATGAAATATAATTGTGACTATGACATTATAATTTGAAGCTTATACCTTTGATATTAAACAATGAACTACAAAATATATATATAGATATATATATAGATAGATAGATATATATATATATATATATATATATTATCAAATATAAGCAATTTTAGAAGATAAGTTTTTGATTCTTCTTCTATTATGATTGAATTTCATATTTTAGAATTTTTTTTATTATATCAAACATTAATTTTTTTATTTTATAAAAATTCGAAATCTATTCATTATTACATGATATGGCATCAAGTACCAAATTCTATCAAATGTATGTAATTTAGTTTAATTCGTGGTTTTTCATCCATTGATAGTTTTTTATGCTTCACTTATTATAGGTGCCTTATTTTTTACTGTTGTTTGTGCATGTGTGGCAATAACAACTATCATTGTAATGTGCCAAATAAATAATTGTCCAAAAAAGAAGAATTTGATTTATTTCTAGAATTTACATGAAATTCATGAATTGATGGCTGATAAGATCTTTTTATTCATAGATATCTTGGACTTATAGTTATCTGAAGGTGATGACCAATGAACAATAAAGCTTAATAATGTTTATAGTCACAAGTTGCTCTTTTAGTCTTTAAATAGTCTTATCATCTAAGAAATTGTGGAGATCCTTACATTGATGTGCAATTGCCTTTATCATTTGGCCTTGTAGATATTATTTCTATAGCAAAGCCTTTTAATTCAACTTCAATATAAGATGGAAATACTAGTATTAAAGACACAACACATACTTTGGCTTAAAAGTATTGAATATACCTATGTTTTTAAGTATTGATTTATTGGCTTCTTAATTTAAATTAATAAGAATCTTTCAAACACCTAGTAAAATGTTAAAAGGCAAAGAATCTATGCCATCATTACAGGTGGTTGAAGTAGTCATAAAGCCTTCAATAAAAGAAGATTTGGCTAAATTATAAGCAAAGTTTCAGATGAAAACATTACCATATTTGATAAAAGCCACTTAAAGGAAATAAACATAAATCTTTCAAGTAAGGTGCTATTGGCTACAAAGATAATATTTTTGTTTAATATTATAACTAGATCTATTCAAGAATATTGAAATTTATGTCTAAAAATTTTATAATTAGTTAATAATAACAACAA